AGCTGTTCCTAACGGGTCAAGGCTCTGCAGGCAGCTGTTCCTAACGGGTCAAGGCTCTGCATCCAGCTGTTCCTAACGGGTCAAGGCTCTGCATGCAGTTACTGGCCATTCGGATTTCCTCCACCGTGGGCTGTCTCTTTGTATCTTTGCTCAGCTTTTGCTATTGACTTTTGTCTTGCCAATTTATAAAAACTCTTTATATATTATGGACCCTAATCCTTCTCCCTCACGTGTTGCAAGTATTTCCCCAACTATCGTTGGCCTACTCTCTCCGTTTACGCACCTCTATTGTTTTTCCTATTTTTAATAATTTGATAAAACATGTCCATGTTTTATTTATCATTTCTGGGTTCCTTACTGAGAAACCCCACCACTAGGTTATGCGTGTTATTGTTGCTTGCTGTTGTTGTCGTTGGGTGCCCTTGAGTTGACTCTGACCCATAGCAGCCCCGTGTGACAGAGTAGAACGGCCCCATAGGGTTTTCTAGGCTGTAATCTTTATGGGAGCAGATCGCCAGGTCTTTTCTCCTTCAGAGTCACTGGGTTCGAACTGCTGACCTTTTGGTTAGCCACCGAGCGCTTAACCATTGCACCACCATGGCTCGTAAAGTTCACACACACTGTCTGCTAACTTTTCTTGGTACTTTTCTTCACTTGGGTCAATCCGTCTGGAGTCTTTACATGTAGTGAGCCAGGTGCTGGCATAATGGCAGAAGCAAGCACTTTTTCCACCAGGGGGACCAGGAGTCACATTTTGGCTGGGGGGCTCTAGTCACAGCCCCCTTGGCCAATCGCCCATCAGATCCAGGAGATAAGACCAGCCTCGGGTCTTCGTCACCCCTGGGATCCAGGATTCTTGGGTTCCTCCTCCACGCCCCCTGGAGCACGGCTTCCTGGCGGCACAGCAGCTCTGCAAACAGCCAGTGAGTGACCACACTCGACCGGCGTGACGCCCCCACCGGCAGCAGTGCCCTTGAGGTGCCCCCAGCAGCAGCAGTGCCCCTCCTGGCAGCAGTGCCCCTGAGGTACCCTCAGCAGCAGGACGCTGGGTGGAACCAGGGCAGCTGAAGGAGCGCCAATGTGTTCAGGGATGCTAGCATTGGCCCAGGGGGCAGGCAAGGCCTTGGGACCCCTGAGCCACTCAGACCTGGCCTGGGTGGGCCTACCATGCACTCCCGGCCCCTCCCAGCTGCCCTGGACTGGCCTCCTGGCCCAGCAGGATTGGTGGGAGGTGTGGCCGAAGGGGCAAGGGCTGCAGGGAGTTGTCCTCAGAGTCTTGCTGCTTACCACCCAGGTGGGCCCCAGAGCAGAGCTGGGTGGGTGGGTGGAGATGGGGAGGGGTGTTCACAGGGTGCAGGCAGGGCCCCTGGCCAAGGGGGAATGGAAAGGTCCTCGTCTGAGTCACAGACTAGGGGTTCAGAGAGAGATGAAGGCAGTAGTCCCTGAGGCTGGTCTTCTCCATGGGGAACCTGCGTCCCCTCCACCTCCTGTCCAGCCACCTAGAGGGACTTGGGGAGGGGAAACTGAATCATGGTGCCCAGGGGCCCTTCCTGAGGGGGTGAGGAAAGGACTGCGGGGGCGGTCCTGTCCTCTGCCCCAGCTGCAGCCCTCCCGTCTCTCCAGGACTCACAGACTCAGACGGCCCGGCTGCACCTACTCGATTCCCACGCCATCCCCCCTATCCACCCCCACCTGGACCAGGAACCACCGTGGGAACAAGCGGGGCCTGTTCTGTGGTCACCCCCCGCCCTCCAGCTCTGACCACGTGCAGAGGCAGCAATGGCAGCGGCCAGGCAGGGCCCAGCCCTGAGTCCAGCAAGTGCGGCATCTGCTCGGGGCCCGGAGATGAGGCGACCTCCTGCCCGGGGGGCCCCCCACCCCTGCCCTGTCCAAGGCGAGGGGCTGCAGGGAGGAGAGGCACGCTGGCCGCAGCGGAGAATCAGGTTTAATGTCACTCTAAGGGATATCGTACATTGTTCTGAGCCCACTCCCCAGCCCCTCCCTCTGCACTGGAGCCCGGTTCTGAAAAAGGGGGGCCTGCCCCCAAGTCCCAGCTATGTACAGGAAGGCCGCCCTCACTGGGCCCTGGAAAGCTCCAGCCCTTTGCCACCATGGACCAGAGGCGCTCTGCAGAGCATGGACATCCTTGCCCACCGCCGGGACCCAGCCCCGGCTAGCCCTGGCCAGCCCCGCTTGCTCGACCAGGCTGGGACAGCTCCAGAGCATGGCAGCACAAGCTAAATCCCCCAGCAGTGAGTGGAGTGCAGGGCAACCCGGCCCGGCGTCTCCTGGGGAAAGGGGGACATCTCCCCGCTGCTGCCCACAGGACTGCTGATGTCAGAGTAAGCGGCGGGGAGGGGTTGAAGCGGACGACGGGGCCTGGGGGGGGGGCCTCGGGGGGTGGACGGCCAGGCGGGGCACCCGGCCACGCAGCCAGGCTCACCTATGCTGGTGATGAAGACAGCCGGGCCGGGGAGAGTCCTGAACACGCCGGCCACGGGGCCACCATCTACGCGCTAACTAGTAGCACAGTGCTTAACTAGTTAACTAGCAATGCTGCTGCACTCTGAATTGTTTCAGGGGTGTGAAAAATTGCACTTATTTCTACGGCCCGAGGAGGACAGCTCCTGGGCGCTGGCTGCAGGCAGGGCTGGTATCCCCAGCGGGCCCCGTGCCAGCGCAGTGGACAACTGCGGAGAACCTGAGCAAGCGTCAGCCCTGAGGTGGCTCTGTGCTGGGCCAGGACCCAGACCCGGTGGCCACGGGGACTGGCCCCAGGTGCCCTGGTCCCGAGCAAGCGGCCGGCCCTCACAGGACATCATCCAAGTCCAGCAGCTTCGAGTGCTGCCGGCTCTTCCACAGGCGGTACAGCCGAAAATCGAAGTAGGTCTCGATCATCTGCTTCCCTGGGGGGGACGAGGGCGGCTCAGGCCAGGCAGGGGGTCCCAGACCCACCCAAGGGCTGGGGACCAGGCTGGGCGGACTCACCTTGGGCCGACAGCTCCAGGGGGGACTCGAAGGTGACCCTGTATGGGGTCATGAGGGTCCTGAGGTTCTGAAACAGCTGGAAGGAAGGGGCAGGACTGTGAGGGGTGGGGGAGGGGAGCTTGGGGAAGGGCGGGGGGGTCCGGGGGGGGGGATGCAGGCAGGGGAATAGGGCCGAGCCAGAGCCCACCCCCTTCTTAGAATCCCCAGACCTGGGCTGGGCTCAGGAGCAGAGAGTTTCCCTTGGGGGACTAGGGGGAGGGAAAGGGTGCTCGGAGGAAAAGTGGGAGTCCTGTTGTCTCCTCTCCCAGGTGTGGGGTCTCTAGAAGTCTGGGTAAAGTTTGGGATCCCCATACCTTCTCTCCATTGGGGTTCCCCAGGATGTAACAACCCATGATGTGAATGACATTCGGCTCGGGGTTCACTTTGCTCATCAGGCGGCTCAGACGCTTCCAGAAGCTGGGGGGGCAGGTCATAGGGGGGCCTCAAGCCCAGGTCCCCAGTGGTGAGGGAGGGGGCAGGTCACAGGGAGCCTGATGCTCGGGTCACCGAGGGAAAGGAGGGGATACGCCACAGGGGGCCTCCAGCCCAGAGGAGGCGGCAGGCCCCAGGGGGGCCTAAGAGCCCAGTTGTTCAGAGGAACACCATGGGGGAGCTTTGAGGGGGACCCTGGGGCCTGGGCCTCTGCCTCTACCTCCCTGCCCGGGAGCAGCCCCACCCCTCACTGGATCATGTCTTCTTCCTTCTCCACTTTGGCAAACGTGGCCACCTTGTTCTTGAGCAAATAGAGGTGTCCAGGGCCTCCCTGTGAGTCAGGAGAGTTGGGGTGAGGCGGGCCCTCTGGGGGCGGGCCCTCTGTGGGCAGGTCCACTGCGGGCGGGTCCTCTTGGGGCGGGCCTTCTGGAGGGTGGGTCCACTGGGGGCAGGTCCTCTGGGGGCGGGCCCCATGGGGGGTGGGCCCTCTGGGGGCGGTCCCCGGGGGGCCAGATCCTCTGAGGGCGGGTTCTCCGGAGCTCAGGCAGGTGCTTCCAGACAGTCTACTGTGCTGTCCTCTACCGCCCTCCCACATGCTCGCTGCCCCTCCCCGCCTCTTGCTAGCCCCCCAACTCAGCGGCAGCCCCTGGGCTGGACAAAAGGGAGGCCCTACCTGGCAGAAGATGAGCATCTTCCAGATCCGGGCCCCCTTGTGGTAGATGTTCAGCTTCTTCTCGATCTCCTCTAGAGACGGTGGAGGGGTGTGAGTGCCCCAGCCCACCACCTGCCCTGTCTGCCTCCCCAGGACCAGAAGGGACTTGAGGGACCGGTGGGGGCACTCACCCAGGATGTCCTCAAACGTTGCGTGCTCATGGTCCTAAGAACAGACACAGACCATGTCAGGGCCCCTCCCTGTGGAGTCTGTCCCACCCATGGTGGGTCGGTCTCACCCATTGGATCTGTCTCTCTCATGAGGTCTGTCCCAGAGGCTGTCCCCCCACGTGGGGTCTGTCTCTCCTATGGGGCCTGTCCCACCCCCACCCCCACCCCTGTGGGGTCTGTCCCACCCACGGAGTCTGTCATCCCGTCATCCCCTCCCCCTCCATCCTCCCACGGGTCCTATTCTGCCCCCGTGGTCTGCCCAGCCCCCTCGTATTGCACTCACGTAGAGAATGGGGATGATGGAAGGGTCGTCTCTGCGGATGATGGTGGGGATGTACTCAGCTTTGGGGACCTTGGAGGAGATGAGCTGGGGGGGCGGGGGCGGGGCTACTTAGTGGCCCACGCCTGCCCTGGAGCCTTCCACCCCTCACTGCAGGCTGGCCACCCCCACCACCCGCTGAGCCCTGGGGCCTCACCATGACCTTGGGGGGTACAAAGTCCTCTGAGTCGCAGGCCACGGCCTCCAGACCCTTCTCAGCCTCCCAGTCCAGGCCCTCGAAGGTCTCATCCAAGGTACAGCAGGAGCTCTGCAAGTCAGTACCTGGGGAGCAGGTGGTCACAGATGGCAGCTCACTCCCGGCTCCTCCTTTCCCAGCTCAGGCGCTGTACAGTCTCCCAGGACCCCTCCCCTGCTGCCTGCAGAGCCAGTGAGACACCGGAGCCCCGGGTGTGGGAGAGGGTGCATAGCTAGCCAGGAGCCCTATTGGGGACCCCAGCACCCCGTCTTCATTACTGCCACAGCCGCCTACGTCTGTGCTTTCGTAGTGCCATCTCAGTTAATCTCACGCACGAGAACGGGAGGTACCGACCCCCAGTCTCACAGGTGGGGAAACTGAGGCTGAGAGCAGAAACGCAGAAGGCCTGCTGAGCAGGGAGTCTGGGGGCCTAGCGGAGGTGGACCAGCCTGCGCTGGGGCACCTACTGTCTCGGGAGTCGTGGGAAGTGTCGGCTTTCATGGGGGTGGGGTCGCTCCAGGACCGGCTGAAGCTCCGCTCGCGCCGCTCAGCGAACGCTGCAGTGAAAGCAAAACCGGCATTAGCCAATGGGGATGGGGCCTGCAGGTGGGGCGTGGCCTGAAGGGGCGTGGCCTGAAGGGACGGGGCCTGAACAAGGCCTTAGAAGGGAGGGCCTGGCTGAAGGTGGGGACTGAGGACATGAGGCACCTGAGCTTGGATGAAGGAGACATTGGCTGGGGCCGGGAGAGTTTAAGAATGGCAGGGCAGGGAGGGGGTGGAGTCTTGGGTGCGGGGTGGGGTGGGGGGAAGGGCTAGGGGAGGAGTCTGGTAGTGCTGGGGCGGGGCCTGGGAGTGACCATAGGGCCTGTGAAGGGCGGAGTCTAGGGCTACTGGGCGGGGCCTGGGGGGCGGAGTCTAGGGTGCAGACAGCAGCGCGTGAAGCGCGGCCAAGCGCAGCAGCTGCCCCCTCCACCTGCCCCCACCCGGGCCTGGCCTTACTCTGGGCCTTCACCCGCCGGCTGCCGACCATGCGCAGGTGTTTGCGGAAGTTCCTGCCGGAGGAAGCACCGGGTGGTGAGGGCCGGAGGGGCTGGGTGGCCCACCTGCCTGTCCACTGGCCCTCCCACCTCTGCCTAGCCCCCGACGGTGCCCAAGGTTCTGCCCTCGCCCCTCTCGTGCCTTCCCTGGCTCTTGCCTCCCTTCACCCACTGCCCGCAAAGGCAAACCCCGCACAGCTTCTCTCCTACTGACACCTCCAGGGATGAAGGCACAGCTCCCGGCCAACTCTCAGCTTCCACCCAGGGATGCTCCCTCAGTGCCCCCGCATACCCCACCCCGATGCCAGACCCTTCCAATCCTTCCTCAACCTGTGCTGCCCCCCCCCATTTTGTCCCCCACGTTGCGGGCCGACCCCAGCCCGAGCCCCTTGTGCTCCTTCCCAGGCCACCAAGGACCCTGGTCTTGCCACGGTGCCCAGGGTACGAGCCTGGTTTGGGGGCTGCAGGCACCTTCCCCCACCATTATGTCCCTGTGGTCCTCCTGCCCCCCCCCCCCGTGTGTACCGTGCGCAGGCCCTCCTGAACATGGCTCTGAGACTGGGGGGTTGGGCTTCCAACTGGCACTGCAGCTCTGGGCCTCGGGGGCCAGACCCGGGAGGGCCACTGGGCAGTTCTGCTGCCAAGAGGCCACCAAGCTGGGCCTGGGGTGAGGCCGTCAAGGCCCAGGCAAACCCTCCCCTGCTGCACGTCCAGAGCAGGGCCAGGCCAGTCACCGCCACCCGCCCCACCCGGCCCAGACCTTGGCCCAGACGAGACGGACCTGGTGGTGAGCGGCTGGCAGGCCCTACCTCTGGATTACAGACGCGGACTCATTCTCTCGCTTCCGACGCTTCCTCTCTGCGTAGCCCCTGAACACCCTGAGAAACCACTGTGAGTCAGAGCTGCCCTCGGCTGGAGGCGAGCGCAGGGCCCGCGGGCAGTCCAGGGTGCTGGGCCAGGCAGAGGAGTCCTGGCCCCTCGGCCTGCTGCAAGGGGAGGCGCGGCCCAGCCCGAGGCCCCAGCTCCCGGCAGGCCCTGCTTGTAGCTCGGGCCCCTGCTGGGAGCCGTTTCTCGGGTGCAGCGCTCCCCCATATCAACGCAGATGCCAGCCCCTGGCCTGTCCAGACCTATTTGGGGTGGGAAGGCCCCCAGGGACAACGGCCAGTGTCCTTCGATGTGAGGTCTCGGAGGGTACTTACGAGATGCTGGAGCCACAGCGGGCAGGGGCAGAGAGAGAGAGAAGACAGTGAGCCTTGGCCTCCCCAGCCCCCAGGCCCCAAGTAGCACCCATCACCGGCAGGACGCCTGCCGTGGGCCAACCCCCTGGACTGGTGTGGATGTGAGGTCACCTCAGTCACAGCCACCACGGTGCCATGACTGGGTCAGGGTGGCCCTAGGCTGGGGGTCCTGAGGAAGCTGCCTGGGCTCGTCCCACCAGGCCCAGTGTGGGGGCAGTGGTGCCCGGGTCTCATGGGAAAGCTTAGGGAACGGAGCTTCTTTGGTGCCAGGTAGAGGGGTGGGCACTATGGAAAAGGGTACCCCCCAGAAGGAGCCCCACAACAGGAACCCAGATGTGTGCTGGGGTCAAGAAGAGCAGACCCTTGGGCACCCAAAAACTGTAATCACCTCTTGTATATAAGAAAGAGGAGCAGGATGCTGTTTGGGGTGCAAGAAGGCAGAGCAGGGGTAAATGGGGCAGGCTAGAGGAGAACTCCCCGCCAAGCACACCTGGCCCCAGAGGACCAGCGGGACAGACGGTGACAGCAAAAGGACATCCCCCAGGGTCATCTGAACCAGCCAAAGACGGTCATGCCCAGCAGGCCCGTGCACGCACGCAGATGCTGATAAGATGGGGCCCGGGGTGGGGAAAGGACTGAAGTCCCTCTGCAACTCAGCCCACCCTGCCCCGAGACTCACGCTTGCAGAGTTGTGGTTGTTGTCTGGAAGCTGAAAAGGTTCTCCTTGGGGAACCAGGTGCGGATGGGGATGTCATCTGGAGGAGACCCGAAAAAAACAGGGACAAAGGTGGGGCTGTGGGTTCGTGTCCGGCAGAGGATGCTCCTGGCCGTGTGGTCCAGTGTGGCCAGGGGGAGGCAGGGAAAGATGCAGAGGCGGCACGCATGCCATGCTCAGTGCTCATGTGGGGCCAAGGGGCCCAGGAGTGAGTGCGGTGCTGAGCGATCGCTGTGAGGCTTTGGTCTCCCTGGCAAAGTTCTTCTGGGATTTCCCGAGGCTCTGCAACCCTGCCTGTCTGTAGGGGCCTTGGGAAGGACTTGTCTGTCTCCTCTGGGCAGAAGGGGCAGCTTGGGGACAGCAGCTGCTGCCTCTCCTGGGGGCGAGGGGGGGTGTTCCGAGGCTTTCTCAGCTTCGCCACCCAAGTCTGCTCACACTGGCTCAGCCAAGCCCTCCCCCAGGCCCCTCCAGGACTGCGACCTGGGGTCTCTCCCCAGGAACCACCTGTGTGGAGACCGCCTTGCTTGGGGCGGTCCCCCTCCCAAGCCTCCACAGCTCCCGGACAGGGAACTCCACACCCCCGTCTGCCCCTCACCTGCAGCCAGCAGAGGTGTGAGGTCATGGAGGTGAACTACTGGCACCCCAGCCTCCTTCCCAGATGTGTGTGTGGGTGGGGGACAGAGAAGCCTCTGTGGGCCTAGGACAAGGTGGGCAGGCAGTAGCGGGCCTGCCCCTGACTCCACCCTTGGTTGAGTGGTTGCCCCGGGACTCAGCTATGCCCAGAGGGAAGGGGTCTGTCTCAGCTTGGGAAGCACGCTGGGAAGACACAAGTCCCCAGCTGAGTTAGAACTCTGCTCTGCAGGAGGTGACCTCAAGTCCCAGAGGTGTGGGCTGCTAGGGTGTCCCAGGCAGCCTCTCCACAGGGCAGAGCAGCTATGAGACACAGCAGACCTCAGGGGCTCCCCAGAGTGGCACTCGGGAAGGGGTCCACAAGCTGGCCTCTCTCAGACAGTGAAGCTCTCTTGGGGTGCACGGCAGCTCCACCTGGAGGGCCCCAGGGCAAGGACTGCTGCCTAGGACTCCATCCCAGGCAGCCCTATCTTCAGACTAAGACACGTTTTCTGCCTGCTCAACCCTCAAGAGCCTCCCAGGACCCCACCTCCAGGAAGTCCTCCTTGATTGACCCCAGGCTTCACCAGGAAGCCACCCAGAGGCTGGCAGAGCCTTGCCAACCATAGGCCTCATTCTGCTGAGGGTGAGAGGCCCACAGGAGGCTACAGCTCAGGGGCGTGGGGGTGCGGCAGGAACCCCCACCCGAGGTGTAATCCTGACTCTGCACTGCACACCACGAGACCCGGCCAAACCACACCTGTTCCCCGCCTCCTGGTGGCCACTGCCCACCACCAGGAGCCAGCATCCCCACCCGAGCTACCGAGCCCATGTGGCGACCGGCCCTCACCAGACATGCGGTCCATGCTGTACATCCTCTCCAGCTTCTTGCGGCGGCCGGCAGGCTCAGGCAGGGGCGGCGGGTCCAGCCCAAAGGCCCGTGGGGAGGGGCCGGGGGCCAGCGGGGCACAGCCGGGACACTCCTTGGAGCCCTGGCGGCTGCCCGCCCAGCTCTGGCAGGACCTGCTGAGGTCATCACGGCTGCCGCTGGGGCTGCTACGCAGGGGCTGGCTGTGGTGGTGGTGGTGTCCGCCCTGCCGCCGCCCCTTCACCACCACCAGCTCAATGGCTTCGGCCTCGGGGCCAGGCAGCAGGGCTGGCTCGCCCGAGATGGTGTACACGTGGGGCTCGGGGCCCTCACCCGCCGGCTTCTCGCCACCCGCCTCCTCGGACAAGCTGCCCTCATAGCGGCCGTTGGAGACAAGGGAGAGGCGGCGCTTGTTCTGGGGGGCTGGCTGCATCTCGGGGGACCCGTCGTGGCCAGAGTAGGCGTCGGCCAGCAGGTGGTCTGGGAAGAGGCACAGCGTGAGCTATGGGTCTCCCAAGGACAGGGTATCTACCAGGAGCCCACCCAATGTGGCGGGGGGGGGGGCATAAGTGGCTCTCAGCCCACTGACCAAGTCCTGGGCCCAACACCTTTGAAAAGGTGTTCCCAAGTTTCACACCTCTCCGAGGCTCCCCTGCCTCCCTCCTGGCTGGGCCTTGGACCAGCTGCCCCTCATGTGCGTGCATGGGAGGACAGAATCTTCCTGGCCCTTGCTGGCCCTCTGTGGTGCTGCCTATGAGGGGCGTGGGGGGCGGGAGTGCACAGGCCACCTCCCAGCTGCGACAGTGCCTGTTGTCCTGGTGCCAACCCCCCAGCTGGCCCTGAGAGACAGTGTGCCAGCCTGGGATGCCAGGAGGCTTGTTGCCATGCCAACACCCAGGCTGGGTGGATGTCATGGTGACAAGTGACTCGTGCTCCTCCTGGGGCTCTAGGCCAGGCAGGGCAGAGGAGGGGGCACTGGGAGCCAGCCAAAGGTCACTGCCTGCTCCACCCTCAGTCCTGCCTCCAGGCCCCGGGGCAGCCAGGCTGGCGAGGGGACAGCAGATGCCCACCTGCCTGAGTCTGCCTCCAGTGCTCCTACCTGCACCATTGCGGTTCTCAGGGTGACTCTGGGACAGGTACTCTCCAAATGCACGGGCTGCTCTGAAGGGTGGACAGCAGGGGCGTGGTCAGAGAGCACGGGTGCACCCCCAAAGCTCCTGCACCCTTCTAGGCCCTGGGAACCAGCTGGGGACAGACAGCGTGGATGTGTGTGTGTATGTGTGTGTGTGTTGCCAAGGTGTGTGTGTGTATGTGTGTGTGTGTGTATGTGTCTGTGTGTGTTGCCAAACACAGAGGTCTGGCCCCTCAAACACCCCCCCCATCCCACCACAGGAAGCCCTTGGGTCCTTGTGTACCCCAGGAAGACCTGCAGGGTGTCCCTCCCGTCTTCCTTCTGTCCAGTCCCCATCAGCCTGGGGATGGATGAACTCGAGGTCGATGGATCCCTCCCCCTCCAGAGGCCAGCGGCTCACTCCAACCTGGAGCCCACTTGCCCCCTGGCTCGGGGAAGGGAGTCCGGGAGGGCGCCACACAAGGCAGTGGGGGACCTGGGCTGGAGAGAAAGGATGGGAGCGGGGGCGTAGGATGCGGGAGAGAAGAGGAGGAGGGGCTGGGGTGGGGGAGGGACCGGAGGCGGAGGGGGCGGTGGAACTGAGAAGTGGGGTCTCCCAAAGTCTGGGGAGCACAGAGTCCGGGACGCTCTCCGGGAGAGAGAAGGGCAAGAGGACCCGAGGGCGGAGGGACGGGCTGAGGGGCCGGGACGGGAAGGGGCGGGGGTGGGGTGGCGCAGACAGGGGGAGAGGGGCCGGGGACTCTGGCTGGGGAGAAGATGCAGGGTAGGGCGGGGTGGAGATGGGGGGCGGGCGGGGAAGGGATGGGGGCACGAGCCGGACAGACGCCGGGGCTGCGACGCCGACCCCTCCCCCAGCGGGGCCCCGGGTGGTCGCCGACGCCCCCGCCCGGCCGGCGCACTCACCGCACTTTGGCCGCCACGGAGGACATGGCCTCGCTCCTCAGCGCCCTCCTCCTGGAGGCGGCGGCGCCCATGGTCGAGGCGGCGGCGCATCCCCCG